TCAGCGCGCGATTTTGAATTGAATGTTACCTTTTTTTTCCTTCCAGCTGCTGCGAACTAATCTTCTTTCCAGCATGAAGCTATATAAAGCCACTTTAAATCATTCCTTCACGTAGTCAAATTCACTTCAACGATTTACACAACTTCTTTGGATTCTCCTTTTCTTTTTAGATATTGCCTATTTTATCCGACATTTTATAAGTTTTGTTAATACAATTTTTTATACGCCTTACGAATAAAATAATTTTGATGTAAATACTAATAGTTAAGTGTGCTAACTGCAAATTTACCGATTTTAGAAAAAAAATAATGTTATGATACTATGAATTTTTGTTACTAATACGTACTATTAATAATACTTACTAGTTACTGATTGCTAATTTCAAGGGCTAAAAGTGCCATTTTTGCTGAAAGAAATATTTTGATAATGAATGGATTTTATTTGCAGATTTAATGCAAATGCAAATTTAATAATGGATATTATTTCACCTAAAATGAAATTAATAATCATCAAGTAAATTAATTTCATTTTTTAGTTCTCTCTGAAATATCTTAATAGATAAAAGCCCCTAGAAAATTATTGAAATCAGAAAATATATTCTCGAATATCGTAGCGAAATTTACATGTATGGTAAATGAACGAAATTTTTGCATACACACAGTGCAATAGCTATTCCGCTAATGATAATGCTCTATTACTTGAAGTCCATATAAAAATTTAGATTTTATATCTAGAAAAATCTAAAACTTTTGCTGTTAAATTCGATTTCATAAAATTATCTATCTTATTTTAAAACATTTTGCACCGAAATACAGTATATCCAAGATCAATACTGAAGAAATTAAACCAGCACCTTTTGAGTAATAAAAGCGTAATAATGTCATGAACCAGCAGTTTTGCCCAGTCGTCAAATTAGTCGCCGAAACGAGCAATTTCTGTTTTGCAGCTTCTCCCGTCTGTCCAAATTTCTCAGTAATGATCTAAATCAACAAATTTGTTCTCTCGTGTACTGTGAATTTCATTGTTAGAATTATGAAATGTTTCATATTTAAGGGAATTCTATTAACTGGATTTCGGTTTCTATTAGTAACATAAATAATTATATAATTTTATATTTATAAAATATTTACCTCCTGTGCCGAATTTGTTTTCATAAAGCTCTCTATCTACTTTTTAAAGACTTTGCAACTAGTAGTACATATCTAGCATGAATATTACAGAAAACAAAGCCTTCAATCACTTGTTTTGATACCTTTTACTGGGCCTTTATGCAACCAGGGAAACTGGGTGAATTCTGTTTTAAATACCAGTTGTAAGCAGCAGCAAAAGGAAATTTCATCATTGATGATAGCAAAACTCTATGTGATTAAAAAGATAAAATTTCAGTTTCCGCAAAGCTTTAAAAATGGGTTCAAATCGTTTTGAAAACAAGCGCTGAAATAAGAAATAATCTTAGCTAAAGCATGATCTGGAAGTTTAACACATCATCCCTCAAACTATTCTTAGTATTTGTATTCAAGTAATGTAACTCGAATGATATCTAATGTTTCACAAACCAATGATTTGTCATATTTTGTTTCGGTTATTGAAGGTCACTTTACTTACTTTGTGCTCAGACGGAAAATAAAGGTGCACATTTAATTGAAAAAAATACACGTTAAGTTACTTATTGCTATCGTATTTAATATTTTAACATTTCTAATAAAATTATGGTTTCAATTGTACAATCTATTGAGGATGGTAGTATTGAATGAGTCTCGTATTTTGCCTTTTAAATGATTTTCCATAGAGGCCAAGAAAATTCTTGATTTATTGCAAATTTTGTAAAACATCTAAGACATCTAATTACATTTTCTCCGCTTTCAAACAGCTCACATAATTTTCTCGGGGCACTAAAAAAACCCTTCTTCGCAAGTAATTAGTTGACAGTTTTTTCTTTGACCCTTCCACAAAAGCTTCCGTTACAGCTCTTCACCTCACTAAACACATTAAAAATGCTATTAACGTGTGTTTCGCTAATATCTCCTTCCCGGGAAGGAAAGGCTAACAAAGTTCTTCCAACTTTTGTGCGCACTTGCTTATTCCCACTCTTGAAAAGACACTAAACGAATTTTTGGAAGAAAGTTTCTATTTAGGGATTTGCTCAAGGAAAAATAGTTCTTCCATCGATTCTTGATATTAATGAAATTCTGGATGGAGGGGGGAAATATTAAAATATAATCTGGAATAAAAAGGTTTAAGTTTAGATTAAATTTAAGTTGGGGAAACATTTGAGATATAAATAATATTTAACACGTCAGTTGTATTTTATATCATACACGTAACTGTCACGATTACATTATGCATATAAGTCTATGTTAAATGTACAAGTTAAGCTGAAATAAAAATTTTGAATACTTGTTTTAAGAATTTGCTTTAATATCTGGGAAAGGAAATATTTAAAATTTTCAGATATTATTGAAATGCTTAATGAAATTTCCTTTACAATAAGAAGAACCCTTTTTGGCATTGCTGACTATTGAAAGTGTAACATTATAAAAAGCTGATTGATGAAAAATTTGTTTAATAGACAGAGCACTGTAGGGCATGAGAATGATTAACGATGCAGTGCATGAGCAAATAATAGACGCATTTAATTCTCCTGAAATTAATGTAGAAGAGAAGTCGGATTTTCTATACAGAAACCGTGTTTCCTCTTTGTTTGTTTGATTAGACGTATACAATATTCCTGAAGTAAGAAGGCAGAGTATACAGAAGAATGCATTTGAATATTATCTCAGGAAAATAATAGCGCACGCGACTACAGATTATCGTACCTCAATATAGCTCCTTCACTTTATCGAAATTAAATTACTGTCGATGACCAGTGTCTGAGGACAGAAAAATCTTACTTCTGCATGCAATGTAAAGCTGGACATGCGAGTATATTATACCCTCGCATTGAGTCACACTGGCGCAACATTGAGAATTATAGCATTAGGGAAGACTGGATACAATTTTGCTGTCTCTTTACACACACTCTGACCAGCGTATTTACTACATTACACACGTTTTAACTATCTTGTAGTTTCAAAGCCACTTTCGAACAGAATAATGCGCAAGCACACATTGCATTCAACATCCGATTTTTCTTAAGTACACCGCAATTTACATTTATATCCCGTCCAACTCGTTCGCCAGGTACTTTCCTTATCGAACATGTTTGGTGTATTGTCTCACACCCTGAGAAGACAAAGCCTACTATCGTATAAAAGCACAAGAAACTGGGAAGAAATAGCATCTGTGCGGAACCACAGTATCCAGAAGTACTTCCAGAGTTTCTTCGATTATGTGCCTCGCCCATATGTCAGTGGTTACTATCGCACATAGTGGACACAAGGGGTACTGATGCCAGCACATATTATTTGCGAAATGAGAAATTTATAAGAAATCTGTAAAACAAATGCAGCTGAGTTTTGTCCTTATTGGCGTTGAAATTCTAAGAGCTAGCTGGGTATAATTTGCAATTTAAATAATTATATAATATAATTTAAAATGCAATAAAAAGGAGACTTGATTAGGTACGTTAACGTAATAGCTTTCTTTGAACGTTCCCAATAGTAATTCAGAAGTCAAAGAACAAAAATCAGCGTTATATTTTCAAACTTTTCACAGAACTAGTTTCGATGGTTTTACCGAACCACCATCCTCAGCTGCAAAACCGCAAATGAACAAGATAGGACATTCCCAATAGTAGTTAACATATCTACCCTGAAATCCTTCCAATTTCGGTTGGGAGCATTCTGTTTAGAGGTTAGCAACTTAGAAATACTTTATGGATTGATTACAAATGAGTAGATTTCGTGCTTACATTAAGCAATATAAGTTATGGATATTGATAAATAATTAAGTTTGTTTTCAAAGGCAATTCTCATATAAGTAGACTGCTATTGCTAATTCGACTACTACATACGAATAAAACCTTGCTGATTCTAGTACACTGAATATTTTCAAATGTACATTTTTACTGTAGAAGTAATAAGCAGTATTATTCTCATACAAGGTATTCAAAACAGGTGACTGCAAGCTTTATTTACCTGAATAATAATCCAAGGTGTATACTTGTATAGAGTTTTTTAGAATAAAATATAGGCTTTTATGAAAACAATTTTAAACCTTACTGTGGAAGAAAGTAATAAATTGTTCATTATGAGTTAATGGGTTAAAAAGTAATAGTTACTCACCTTTATATGTAAAATGTACAGCAATTAATATTTTATTGTTCCAAAGTTTACTAACCACAAAGTTTAATATAACGACAGACGTTTTACTGAGAACTGAGTATTAATCGTTGAAATAAGCAACATTTGCTTTCTCCTAACGGTTTTCAAACGTCTTGAATTTTAAACATGTAACTGTAGCGTAAACATAATCTAAATTGGTAGATTCGTTTTAGCATGCAAATCTCATTTCATTTTGAGACTTCTAACCAGTGTTTGGTGCAAAATAACCATACTTAGTTTTGCGTCATTGAAACCACCAACCATGTAAATTTCATGTATACTCATTTCATGTACACTCATAAAAACTTAAAGATTTTCAAATTATTTTCTTTCTAAATATCAGAATGATATATGGAGTCATACAGGGTTTTTTTAAACTAATTAAAGCTAAATGAATATTTTATTAATTGGAGTTCCTAATCCCTGAGATCTATATAATCAGCTAGATTTTGTATTTACTTAACTCTCTAATCCACCGCATTGAAATTCGTTTTACAAATTTTCCCTCTCATTCTGAGAAACATTTTAAAAGGAAACACATCGTTAGGATACATATGTAAAGAAACAAATCCTTCGTCATAATATTCCAAAATTATCTCATCTTTTATTAAAGCACTTTGACTCACTTAAGTTATTTTTTGTTTAATTTCTATGTCGAAAGATTTCCACTAATTGTTATATATATCGACGTGACTTTCTTGCGTTCACATTCTTTGTTGTCTTTTCCATGAAAAGCAGCCCGGGCTAAGCAGCCCCTACGACTCTGGCTGCCCACCTTGCTCCGGAAAGCATCTGAGGCGAAGGATCAGGAGGACATGATGCTCACCCCAGAAGCTGAGACCGTAGCGCTGGACACTTTCGACACCCCTTTCGCCTTCCTGCAACGGCAGAGCCCCGCCGAATTAGATCATGTACCGCTTGCCCTGCCTTCCACCAACAAAGAAGTGGATTTATATCGGGGTCAAAAAGGTGGACCACCGGACACTTTGTGGAGGACGTCCTCTTCCTTCAAGGAAAAAGGAACCTTGTCAGCGGGTAAGAATCTGTTTTTTCTTTTCTAATGTGGTTGGTTCAAAAGCAAGTTACAGATTTGTCATAGTTGTTGAAACCTTCTGTTAATAAATTATCAGAAAATTATCCTAAAACTAAAAAATAAAGCATTTTCTTGCCTTGGCCGGCAGTCAGCTAGGTAAAGTGGAAGATTTAACTACCAATTTTGATTCCGTATTTAAGCAACAAATGTTTTTATTCCCTATGGAGTTAAAAGGCAATTACTTTTTTAATTCTTCATAGTCCTGAAGTCAACTTTCAACTATTTCTTCCCTTTCATAAGGGGTGTTAAAAGACAATTATAAGTAAACATTCTCTTCAGTCATTGGATTAAGCTTCTACCATACTGGAGAATTAAAAGTCAAGCAACGGAGCTTAGTAGTTTCTATGTATATTTTATCATAATTTCAGCCTCCGGGAGCACATTATAGAAGTATATGGCAGTGGAGTGTCATTCAATTAGCAAAATTATTCAACCAATTGCTTTGGAAATCAATGAGGTTATTGAAAGTGCTTTTAATTTATCATATAAATTCATACGGCTGAACTCCAAATAAGGAGATAACGTACAATAATCTGGAAGTGAACTGAATTTCTGCGGCTTGAGAAAATAAGAATTCATGCATTTTTTCCCTTTTGAGATTTTGTGAAGTAACTAAAGATTTCTTTCCTTCTTCTAAAACTATGTTGAACTCAGAAAGAAATTTAACATATCAAACACAAATCAAGACTCATTTCAAATATCTCTTCTGTATTAAGCAAATTTCAGTGGTTCTTGAAATGGCTTCATTATTTCCTTTTATAAGTAGAATATTTCCTTTTATAAGTAGAAGTTTTCGGAATTATATAGTAATCAAATTACAGAATCGCAATAACGAACGTAATTTATTTTTATGTAGCATTTTAAGCATAAAATTTAAGAAAAAGTGCGGAATATTAGAAATAGGTTTTCGAAACATTTTGTGATTTTTAGATTTATTTGCAAGAATAATAGTTGTATAATGCAGTCTTATAATTGTCTGATAGTATTTAATTGCCTTCTTCAGTCGCATTCGTAAATTAGCTTTAATATTTTGAAACAAAAGAACATTACATTTGGTTAACATCCTCTAATTTGTGCAATAATAATAACATTACAAAAAATATAAATGATTTTTCGAACAGCAATAATATAATCATTAACTTGCTTAGCTGATTCATTACGTCCTTTGTCTTTTATATGATTGAATATTATTTATTATTCTCGACATACAATTTATACTTTGTTGATTATAATGACTGTATAAAATTATAGATGTCATTTAATTTCATTATATAATTCGATGATGCAAATATTTATTCAGCTTATCTTTTTACATTTTATTTATTGTTCTGCAGCAGATACATAAAATTATTCATGATATTTTTAATTCTCCTGAATTATCTTAAAATTATATAAACGATTATATTTTATTTCATAATCTTTATTTGATATCTAGTTTCACATGATTGTATATGGTGTAAATGTGTCTGATAAATATCAGTAATCATTATCTGTATTGGATGTAATTATTTTAAGATTAAATCATTACCTTTTCCTAAATCGTAAATGAGACTAGTACGTTTTTTATTATTTTTGATGTTATTTCTTTAAATTATGTATGCAATGAGAGAAACTGTTAAAATGAGTGCATTTATAAATATTTAGTTCATTAACTGCAACTTTTCAAAAGTACAGACTTTTAAAATCTCTAAACTCCCTTCATCTGCATTAAATAAATTTTAAAATTGCACGTAATTTTAAAATAGTATGTAAAGTCATTCACTCTATTGCATGTGCACTCTCCTTCACATAATCTACCCTTATTTTACGAAAAAATTTTCTTCTTGAGAATTTTACAACATTTACATGTAAATGTTCATAAGTTTAGAGAAGATGGCTGCGAACAAAATATTTTATTTATTTTAATAGTCTCCCTCAAGCCCCTCCTCTTTCAACCAGTCCTTACACCAAAGTAAATATAATTTGTTTTAATGTATTTAAAATACTCTGCTTCAATGGATTTTAGTGTATACGAGTAAGTTTCCCTTAGAAAGTCCTCCACGAAGGCATCCCTCCCCTTGGACAGATAGCCCTAGTGTGCTTTGCCATATTTTCAATACACACATACACATACATTGAATGGATTTTATTCCATTCACTAATATTCATTATTCTTCATTAAAACAGTTCCTAATTCGTACGATAACCTTCTCTCCATCTGCGTTCAAGCATTATAAGATTATATCTTTCACCTATTTTATTGTCATATATTGATAAAACATTTTAAAAGCTTTGTATATATTTAGCTTTACATAAACATGGATTTACATTATTAAATATTTTAGATTATATTTTTATTGTTGATTTTTATTGTTCTGCGTTTATTTTCATCTTCATATCTATAGTTTTATATATCGTTATGTATTTATATTTTCATGTTTAATGAAATTTTGTTTGAGAGTTATGGCAACACATATAATTTTGCATTTTCAGAATATATTCGCTCACGTATCTATTTATTACATTACATTCACTCATTCGTTTAGTTTTTTATCACACCTGTAACAAGTAACATTAATAGGATAACCTGGATTTGAATGCAAATTATTTCCAATGTGTGTAATTGTTCTTATTTTAGTCGAGTTTAAAGGTTTGTTTTCATTAGATGCATTTATTCAAGCTTTAATAGATGAAATTACTCTTAAAAAGTTTCTTTTTATTTTGTAGAAAATATATTACTTCAGGTTATTTAAATGACATTCGAACCGCAAAAGTTATGAAAGCACCAGTAATAAACTACATCTCGAGTTCCTATATCAATAAAAATAGAGTAATTAAAACGTGTGCAGAACGAAAATTAGTAAAGAATTTACCTAAAAATTTCTTTAGCAAATTTCAAAAGTTTTACTTTTTAAAATTTAAGGAAGAATGTGTTAAACAGAAAAAGCGTGTTAAGTGGCAAAATACTATTACAACTCATACTGTTTCATCATTACTTATGACAAATAAAAACAACTACCGATTATTTATTTAATGTTTGCGGTATGTCTTATAATTATGCAATAATATGTCACTTGAGATTCTTCACAAATTCCTCATTTTCTTTACAAGTTAATCGTTATTCTTTCGATTAGTATTATATTTAGTACTCTTTGTTGCGAATTTTTTAATCGATATCTTTTACAGTCTATTATAAGTTCGAATATATATTATTTAAAAATTTTTTGTTAATAATTTTACTGCATTAAAAAGTGACATTTTCCTGATTATCGCAGTTTAACACGATAAACGCCTTGAAATCTATAAGCTTATAAAAAGAATTTAAACATTACATGAGAAGAATTATTAATATTAACCTAAAAGAAAGTAAATAATGCTGACAATTAAAATGAAGACGTTACTCACATTTTAAGATTATTTTATCTTAAGATTTATTATAGCTTTCTTTTAAATAATTAAGTTCGGTACTTTTCCGTTTTGCCGGCGCAAGCGATAAAGTCGCCAATAATGGTACAACCCATGCCAAACGAAATATTCTCGCTGGTAACCTTTTACGCCTCATTTTCAAACAAGTCGCAGCTTTTTCTTATCAGATTGATTGTTTCTTTCAATACTGGCATATCATTACATATAATTTTTATCAGATAGTTCATTTTTATGTTTAAGGCAATTTTTGGTAATTAAGTTAATTAGGATGCAATCACAGCACTTACCCGAAGCCGAAAAATATAGAAAAGGTAAAGTCAAGGGTTAAATTCATCAATTCTAATGAGAATGCATTAGCGAAGTAAAGCACTGCAGTTTTACATCATTTCTGAGTAAGCTATTCGTACGAATTGAAATATTTCTTGCATTTAAACTTGTGTTCCAAATTAAGATTTAACTTGAAATTAATGTGGATAATTACTAAGAGCATTAAGAATTTTTGTAAGAGTAGTTTACGTGAGATGAGATCGCTTGGGGTCACGTGATATGAACCGGTGAATCAGGATGTTGAACCATGAAAGCATAGTAAATTCTTAATGTCTTTTTACAAATTTATTGTCTTTATTTATTGGCTTTTTATAAAATTTTAAGCGATACTAAAATGTTTATGCCTTCTTTTTTAAAAAGAATTCTTAGAACTAACATTTTTTAATATTTTTTACGTGTATACTGTATGTTGTCGCCAATAAAGTCTGCTTGGCGAGATTTGCGCCGGCGAAACAGAAAAGTACCTTAAGTTCTTTCTTTAATAAAGTGCACAAAGAAAACATAAAACGAATTCAAAGTTACAAAATATATCAAAATCCTCTTTTGTAAATGATATAAAATGTCATGGAGAAATTAAATGCTATAATTAATAATGGAGCTATATTATCATATATATATTTCATGTGGACTTCTAAAATTCAGCACATTTTGTAATAACAATTTCTTAAACTTTAAAAGTACACAGTCTGCACTTTATGTTTAAAATTCTATATTTTAGATAAATGTTTTGTGCTCATAATGCAGAATTTTGATATATGTATCGATTTTAGTAAACGTTAAGATGGTTTGATATTTTGTGTTGAAGAATAAATCAGTTTCTTTGGGAAATGTTACGTTCTTAAACTGGATTTTGACAAACGCTGTAATTTATGAGAATGTCAAAATTGCAAAATTTGTGCTATTTCTAAGTATCATTAATGTCATTGTTGTTATTAAATATAACCTTAGCATGACAATTTTGATGTTTATTGTAGGATCAAGCATGCTTAAGTAGTGTATTATTTTCAAAGTTCTTTAGTTTTGACTTGATGCTTGCGTTAACATATGTCGTAGGAAATGTTGTCACCAAAGTACTTCTTACAAACTATTCATTTTAGTTTCATATATTTATCATATATAATCAATATCACATATAACATATATTATATTTGATATATGATAAAGAAATGAAAAATCTGATGTTTTAATTAAACTCTTTATGTTTGCTAGT